GGACTGCACATTTTCACCTTTTCTTCGTTCCTTCGCTTCGCCTGAATGCTTGAAGAGACCATGTATTCTTTTTATTAATTGATTAAAATCTCTTATATTTTGAATACTCTAAACTTGATCTCTGGAAACGCTCCATATCTATTTGGTATTGCTATACGTAGTGTGGTAAGAGCAGGGGCAGCGGGTAAACTTGCCATCCCTGGAGCAATTTATTTTGAAATTGTAAAATTGTGATAGATCACACCAGTGTTCCCTCTAAGCTGAGTTAGTCTGAGCTAGCCCACAGGTTTTTAGCCTCCGGCTCACACATTTGTGTCTTAGCTCAGGAAGGATGGCTCCAGAGCAAACTAATTTATGTGGCAGTCAAATCGCTCGCTCACAACTTCAATGCCAGTAGCTCACAAAGTAGAATTTTTGCTCACAGGACTCCACAGCTTAGAGGGAACATTGGATCACACCCATGTGAGCTGATAGGAATGAACTGGGCAGGTGCGGCAACTAGGCGGATCCTCTTTACCTGCAGCGCAGGTACAGAGTGCTAGACATGCAATTGTTTAGCTGGAGATACTCTCAGAATTGCTTTTGGCACCCTTGGGAAGTGATGGGAAGGGGTGCTGTTGCCCACTAGAGACTTGAGGACAAGTGCAGGGAATTCTGACTTTGCGGTGACCAGCCCAAAAGAACAGGGAGGGCTTGCAAGTCTGTTCCTTCACGCATACAGCACACACAAATCTGCCGAACTGACTGGAGTGCTGTGTTTGTAGATCTTGTCTCTCCACCATGTTCTTTGTCTTCTGAGAACTTATATTAAAAGAATTGTAACACATGAGCAGTGCCAATCAGATTTGGACCCCTGCACCCTGCCCACCTTTTTTTAGCAGGGTTCTGAATTGATCCTGCTTCTGCATTTTCATGTGCTAGAAAAAATGAAACATTAGGATTCCTGTATGTACAAAGTAAGTGTTTATAGTCTTTGGCTGAGAGCAAATGCCCTTTTTGATCTATAATTATCTGTCATTACACTGTCATTGTCTGCCGTTATACATCTAATAAAAAAACATTCAGTACCAATGCAGAACCACAGGTTAGTTGAGTGTGCCTGAATGAGCTTCGGAGCTTGAACTTCTTCGGCCTCAGCCCTCCATGTCAGACCTCCTTGAGGAGGTGTTACAAAGCAAATTGTTGTTAAGATATGGGGTGGTGGTGGGGCTGGCTGGCATTCAGAGTTGGAAACCTCACTAGGCAGTGTGTGTGACTAGGATCTGAGAGACCAAGTTCAAATCCCCAGTCTGCCATGGAAGGGGGTGGGGATATGGTTCAGTGGAAGAGCCTCTGCTTGGCATGCAGAAGGTCATCGAATCATAGAATGTTAGAATTGGAAGGGACCTTGCAGGTCATCTAGTCCAGCCCCCTGCACTCTGCAGGAGCACAGCCGAAAAGATAGCCCTACAACATACCCGAAAGATGGTCGTCCAGCCTCCACTTGAAAACGTCCAGCGAAGGAGCATCCACCACCTCCCGAGGCAGTCTGTTCCACTGCTCAACCACTCTTACCGTTAGGAAGTTTCTCCTGATATTTAGGTCCTCGGTTCTATCCCTGGCATTTCCAGTTAAAAGGAACAGGCAGTCAGTGATGTGAACCTTGGAAAGCCACTGACAGTCTGAGTAGACAGTACTGACCGTGATGGCCCAGGGGTCTGATTTCATGGGTGTCCATGTGTGGGTGACTTTGGGCGAGTCGCACGCTCTCTGCCTAACTTACCTTTACAGGATGAGGGTAAAATGGAGTAGAGAGGTACACTTTGGGTACCCATAGTAAGGTGGAGTATAAATGAAGTAAATAAAAGAAATAAGGCATCCTTCATTTCACTCCTGACGACTGTTTGCCTGCTTGAAGAGGAGAATTCAAGTGGGGACCTGCAAGAAACTTGCGGGTGCATCTCTTCCCCCTCTTTGCTTCCTTCCCTCCTCCTCCTCCTCCTCCCCTCTTTCTCCCCCTCCCCTGATCTGTCAGCCGACTCCCTTTTGCTCCCCCATCCCTCCTCTGTCAATCTACCCGCCCTCCTCCCTATTCCCCCCTTTCTCTCATTCCCTTTGTCAACCTACCCCCTATTGCACTCCTTTCTCCCTCTTATCTTATCGCCCATCTCTTTTGTCACCCCCACCTTTTCTCTATCAGCCTGTCCAACCCCCGCATTCCCCCCACGTACCACCTGCCCCTGGCACTTCACTCACCCCCACCTTTGCAGCTCTCCACACTTGCCCCTCACCCTTGACACTCTACTATCCCCCCAACCCTTCCCATTCACCACCCCCACCCTTGCTGCTCTTCCCAACGACTTTCCAGCGGGCCAGCAGTAGACTGCCGGCTTGGTAGGGGGGTGGCGGAAGTCACAGGAGGGGGAATCACAGCCTTCCCATCTGCTGTGGCTCCTGGGTTGCTGTGCCTCCGACGCTGGGCCCAGCATGGCTCCTGACCTGCTGGGCCCCATCAAGTAGGTGATTATTTGGAGGGGAAATTTTTTTATGGGGTGGGGGGAATTAATCCCACCCAATATATTTTTAAATACAGATTTCCCCACAAACCCGGGGAGTGCCCCAAGTTTGTTGGGAAATCTCTTTAGCCTTCACGTGGCCCCGATCTGCAGATTTAGCTGTCTGCAGATGGGGGCCATGGGTGGCTTTTAGAATATAAGATAAGCTGACTTTGCTGTTCTTTAATTCTTAGGATTCTAGGCGGCAATGTGATTTCATTTATGTACGTCTCAAATAAACACACACCGAATAGTACAGTGAAATTGACTGCATGGTCAATATTGGTTTTAATTTCACATAATAATAATAATAATATGGTTATTGCAGTAATAGCTGAAATAACGTATTTTAAATATTCCAATATTTTTATCTATAAAACTTGCAGTTTATTAGAGCACATTTTGTTCCAGGCAATATAGGGCTTTTCCAGAAAGCAAGCCAGGTATATGGGAAGACAGCCTGGACTTTTGGCTATATGATCTATCCATAGCCCTTGGGAGATTGTTGTCAGGAGATGTTATTAAGGAACTCTGGAGACTGACTGTGGCACGGAGTTTGGTGGTCACCTGAAGTCAAGGGGAGAAACAGACCACTTGCTTAGTGCGAAGAAGAAGAAGAAGAGGAGAAAGAAGAGGAAGAGGAGGAAGAAGAAGAGGAGGAGGAGGAAGAAGATGAAGAGGAGGAAGAGGAGGAAGAAGAGGAAGAAGAAGAGGAGGAGGAAGAAGAGGAGGAGGAGGAAGAGGAGGAGGAGGAGGAGGACAGAGCGGCTTACAGTCTCCTTTCCCTTCCCCTCCTCACAACAGACACCCTGTGAGGTAGGTGGGACTTAGAGAGCTCTGAGAGAACAACTCTGAAAGAACTTCTGACTGACCCAAGGTCAAAACAGCAGCTGCATGTTGCGGAGTGGGCAATCAAACCTGGTTCTTCCAGATTAGAGTCCATGCTCCTAACCACTACACCAAACTGGTTCTCTCCCTGGCTTGTAGTCAGATTTACTGCATGGTTTAGTTTTCAGGAACAGTTTTTTTATATCATGCTTTCAGGGATTCCAAACTCTTTATATGTGGTGCTTGTTCTGTATTCTTCTTATTCTGAAATAAGGTTTTCCACATTTAAATGTAAGAGCGATTAGCCTTTGAAAAATCTTAAAATATGGACCCGGCGCTCATGACTGCTGGGAAAAACCCTGAACGATTCTGTCTCCAGAGCTGCTGAAGGAAGGGGAGAGTAGAGAGATAAAACTGGGGGAGGGGGGCTGCCGGACAAGTTGCCTGTAGGATACATAAGAAACATAAGCATTCTAGTCAAGGAACGTGAATGTTTCTTGTGAATTTGAGGGGGCTTAAATGTAGTGGTTGGCTCTTTGGGGGCTCATAGTGGCTCTTGGGAGCCCTGCTTGTTTACTGCTTTTGATCCTTCCCTATTTTGTTCAAGCTTATGAGAACTACAGTAAACGAAGGCTGATATTCTCAGTAGTCTAGCACGTGCCTATGGATATAGTTTCAGGATTCAGTTGGGGGGGGGGGGGGTGTCTGTGTATGTCCCACAGGCGTTGTGTTGTCCACAGCTGCTGCTTGGCCCAGATGCTGAGACTCTTCTTTTTGACTGATTCTTCTATTTGAAACCTAAATTGCAATACCGTTGAAATTCACAAGAGCCAGCTTGATTCTTTTGTGAAGGAAATGAAATTGTGCGTGGTGGAGGAGCTGAAGAAAGACAAAACCAGGAGCACAGAGTTCAAGCCGATCTGCTACAGGAGTCTCAGAGTTCAACTGATAAGACTCACAACTCTGTCATCCCCTCCTCCCCCCAGTAGCATGCCTGTGTCTGTCTCTCTAAGTGCAGGGCTGTGAGCACCATGGCACCTGCTAACACTTCTTGGTGCCTCCCACTTGTGGGCGGGGCCGGGGAAGGATCTTGCCGAGCAGGGCTTCTAATTGGCTGTTGGAGATTTGATTGGATGTGCAGGTTTTTAAGAAACATTGCTTTGGCAGCAGCTGTCCCCACAGCACGAGGATCCTCACTGCGTGCCTGAAGGTAAGCTGCCGCAGGTGTGGCTGCCCCCACCACACTATGCCAGAATTCCAAAAGGTGTCTGCAGGCTCAAAAAGGTTGGGGACCAATGCTCCCTCTAAGCTGTGAAGTCTGGTGAGCAAAAATTCTACTTTGTGAGCCACTGGCATTTAAGTTGTGAGCGAGCGATTTGGCTACTGCATAAATTAGTTTGCTCTGGAGCCTCCTTCCTGAGCTAAGACAAAAATCTGTGAGCTGGAGGCTAAAGAACTGTGAGCTAGCTCAC